AATGGAGAATTAAAAATGATAAAAATAAAAAATAAAAATTAAAAGATTTATCATCAAGACTTTTAAAAAATTTTGAAAATTTAAAAAAAAAAATAGTATGCTTAACCAGATCTAAGTTTGCAAGTTTAATTATGCACGAAAAATGTATTAACACTTTAAGACGTTCGTAAAAAAATGGTTACTTTAAATTATGTAAAAATTAAAGTTTTATTATGTTCTTAAATTTGATATTTTATTTGTTAAAAAAAATGAGAGAAAAGTAAATTTTAAAATAATTAGGTCTGACATGTTTTAATCCTCACTTCTACGTATCCTCAATGTAATGAAAAAATCAAGGTTACATATTTTTTAATGAATTTTTTAAAAGATATTTACTTAAGAAATTAAAAATAAAAACCTTATTGAAGGGTATAATAAGGAAATTAAAAGTTAAAAAGTAAAAGTACACCCTTTGAGGGTGTCAAAATGATTTAAAGAAAAATATTTTTATTTTTATCTTTACCTAGAAAATAGGATGAAAATTAATTTTATGATTATATAATATGTGAATGGATAGAATAATTTGTACATCACTATTATTAAATGTTATATAGATTTAAAAAAATATTTTAATTTTAAAATAAGAAAATTTAAGAAAATATCTAATTTTTAGAAGAAATTAAAGTATAATTCACATCGTACGGGGTTTTAGATAATATAGTTAATATGTTCAAGTGTTGTAGGCATATATAAAAGGAAAAATGCGTGCTCAATACATCACTTTCACATGTGGGGTTTGATTGAACGAGAAACATTAGTTGTGCAAGGTGATATTTGCATCTAATTAGAAGGTGTGTGGTAGCAGTGAAGGTTATGCTAGAAAGCAAGTGCATAGACAACGTGCTTTGGGTTACGTGTCCTTCTAAAACTCTATTTTATTGTACCAAAATTAAATGTGTTGGTGGGGTAAGTAGCAGACATGACATTGTGATTTTGTTTTAACTTTTTTAATAGGTTAAAATTTATGGATAATTTAAATGTTACATGTCTTGCACTTGGTAATACACCATAGTGGTAAATTTGTTGATGAACCAATCGTGACTTAGAAAGGAGGATATGTTGATGTTGTTTGAAACATAGACATTGGTTGATATGGTCATATAATGAGGTGTTGTTTATTGTGAAAAATTTAGAGTATAAAGGAGAGTTTTTTATATGATGGAAGATGTTTGGATTATCATTTGATGACAAATTAGGTTCATATTTTTTTTTTTTGCATGTACAAATTTAGACCGTATGTAACTTTTGGGTATAAAACTGTCATATTGCAATGTTATAACAAAATACATATCTAACTATTAAATTCTCAATAACAAAATTCTAAACCTACCAGACAATAGGAACTAAATCCTAAATTTATATATTTTAAAGAAATTGAAAACTAAATACTGACCATTTTTTTTATTAGTTTTTTATCCGGTTTAATCTAGATCCAACCTAGATCGCACATCTGGATATAGTAAGTAAGTTTATCACTGGAGATTTTTTGCAACTCGAATGCAAGACCTTATTTAAGTGATATCGAGCCATTTGTTATACTATATTTATAAAAAAAAAAAAACAGAAAACTTTTTTAAAAGAGAAATTAAATACTAAAAGATTTTATTTTTATTAGAAACTAAAAACATAATTAAATTTTTTTATTAAATTTATTTCTTTAAAAATTAATTATACCAAAATACCAATTATTAACTAACGGAATCAATTTTTAAATCATAACAGAAAGATAAAGAAAAAAATTATAAAACCATGATAGAAATTCTTCACGTAATCAAAATAAGAGATTTAGCTCAATTGACTCGCTCTTCAAAGCCAAAACTTCAAACTTGCATAGCAAAAGCAAAAGTTTTGCACTCACTTTCAAGAATAATTATTGGTGTGCATAAATTGCTCCAATTTGATATAATAGTAAAAAAAAATTGAAAAAAAAATGTAAAAAGAACAATTATTGTTGATATCTGTTATCAACAATAAAAAAAAAATATTAGATCTAAACTTAAAAATTAATTAAATTCAAACTAAATTTATGTGTACGTATGAAATTAACTTCTTACTCATAAGTATATAATTATATATTTATAAAATTATAATACTTATTATAATATCCAAACTAAATTTCCAACACCGTTAATTATTAAGCATCCGCGCTTCGTTTTCAAAGCAAGCTTCTGGTCATTAGGAAAGAAACAAGGGACTCATTTTGACTTTGTATACCTCACATTTTAAAATTGAGTTTAACTTTAATTTTTTAAAAATAACAACATTTATTAAAAAATATTATCTAAATTCAAACTCAAAAATTAAAATTAACAAAATTATCAATAAAAATATATATAAAATTTAAAATTGACAATCTTTTCAATGCGTTCACAATAATAACTTTTTATTAAAAGTTATAAAATTTAATATATTTATAATATTAAATATAAATAGTTTTTAATAAGCATATTATTCATCAATATTTTTTTACCTCCTTGGACAGGCATTTAAAAAAACTGAAATTTTTTTAAATTATCCCTATCGTGAATGTTCCATCACGAAGATTCTGAGTAAAATAAACAGAGAAAAGCAGTGACGACACAATCAAAATTCACATAGATTTTGGGACAAGCCAAGATAAGATAACAAGAAGTTAGGTCCAAAAATTAATATATATTGGTGGGTGGTAGTTGGCCTTTCTGCCAAACGCATATGGACGTGTGGACTTTTTGGTGCCATTTCCTTGTTTCACACTTTCACTTTTTTATTTTCATACCGTAAGACACATAACCATCTATTGGCTCCTCTCTCAAAGAATCCTTCATCAAATGGTTTCTTCTTGGGTGGGACCAAACCTTATTTATATTATATGCTTACACCCATTTGTTTTTTATTTGCCATGTGATTTCATGATTTGATTTGCATGTTTATATAATACTATTCTCCGCATACTATATCCAAAGATGTATAAAAAAACATTTGAAAGTTTCCCAAGTCTTATCAGTCTCTTAATCTGTGTTAGCATGAAGCTGCTTGAGCCAATTTTACAAGGCAAATATTATGACTGAGAAACCCATCTTTTTCACCAACGTGAGAATGCATATAATCGTTAAAGGGTTTACATTATTTTTATTCTCAAATAATAAGATATATTTTTATAAAATATTATAGTCTTGTTCATTATGAGATTTATATTGCTTAGACATTGATAAATAATTAATTTTCACTATTTAAAATGAGAATCCTCTTGAGAAATATGGTCATGTGGGCACATTAGCTCTGCAAGATTCTTCTCTATTATTTGGGTTGTGAGAATGACTATTTTGTCATGCACCTTCCAACAAGATAAACATTGAAACCGAGTGTGTCTCTTAAGAGAAAGGTGGGAAGTGGATAACTTCAAGAGTTTGGTAAACTTGGAATATTGAATCGTTCACTGATCAAAATATTACTGAGTTGCTTCAAATATGCAATTAAATTGACTGGCTGCTGTCTCGGTCAGTCGGTGGACTTCAAGGTTTTATTATTTTTTTCTTATTAAGAGAATTTTTAAAAGAACATATAACTGTAGTAAACTTCTTGATATAATTTATCATAACAATATTTTTTTAAATCATTCTAATAAATTTTATTATAAAATTTAAAAAATATTAACATTGCCTTTTAGGTTTAGAACAAACAACTAAAGGTAATAATTTTTTATTAAAAAAAGTATTTATCACTTAAAGAATATAAAAGTTAATTTTACTTAAATTTAAACTCCCTAATACTTTCAAGACATAGAAATCACTAAATTGTTTTTCCTTCTTATGATAAATCTCTCTCATACATATTTACGGTGAACACTTAAATTACTATCAATAACTTAGGAAATTTCAGTTTTGCTAAACTTTGTTGTGGTGCCACTTTGATTTAAACTTGCTTGTAGGGCCACCTCAATGCTTGCTGGTATTCTTAACATTGACTTGGCTGCGGTTTCTTACAAGCATCGCTGCGTGTAGCCTTTTTATTTTTATTTTTTATTTGGTAGTTTTCTACTACCCCATATTTTTGCCTGTTTTTAATGAATAAATAGAAGTTTAAGCTAAGAGAAAGTGATCGCTTTTTTAAAGTTAGAGTGAGTTATTAAAAAATAATTTAAAGTAGAATTATATATTGTCTAGTAACAAGAGTTGCGATGAACTCGAACCATTTCAAAACATTGTCATACAAGGTGATTGATCCAACTATGATTCACAAAGTAATCAAATGTTTTTATATTAAGAAAGTTAAATTATATTTGATTAAACCATTTAAAATATTATCACTTCATTAATGTTTTCTCTTATTTTGTATAGATATTTCGAAATGGACAAAGCATTAGTTAGAGAATGCGAGAATGCCTACTACGAAGAGTTGTTGGACCAAAACATTACAAGTAAAGTTCTTCTCTTATTTATTTTATAATAAAATCCCTGAGCTGAATTTTAAAGTTCGAATCAAATTCTTTGGATACTAAAGCCAGGTCCACAGTGATGCTGCAAAATTGCAAATTCGAGAAAATATGTAAAAGACAAAAGAGAACATTGTTCTCACGTGACACTTCAATTTCTTGTTATCATGTGGTACCTGTAAATTGTACTCCGAATAGATATAAATTGTTCTTTACTTCTAAATTCCGCGTAAGAATTTTAAGATAACATGAATTTGGAGACATAGTCAACCTCAGTTATGGACATGTCATTGCATTAAATATAGACAACAACCCTCACATTTGATGACTCAGAGTAACGTTGAGACAAAGAAACAAGATAATTTGATAATTAAGAGACGACATTGTCTTCATGCACATCCATGACAGTCAACATATATCTGCAGGTTGAAGGGTACATTTTGCTAACCCACTAAATGAAGGAGCTTTTATTTCATTTCCATGCACATAGTATAGAATATCACCTATTAAAATCTCCCATCACATTAAATATCACAACCATTCCATATGTAGGACTTTTACCATTTTTTATTTATTTTGGTCAAAATCATATTTTAATACATTTTCTAACAGTCTTATGGACTTTGTTACAAAACGATATCAAGCATTTTATCTCTCTCTAGCTAGGATGGTAAGTTTACATCTGACCCTGATGACAAATTTCATCACCTGTCTTGACTCCAGACCCTAATTGAGCATAAATCAATGTCTTTCAAGTTAAATCTGAACAATCCTTCACCACTATTGATACATGGGGGATAGGAAGCAAAATTGGGAGAGTTACACAATAGCCTTCAAAGGCTTCTATTTTGACAAGACTGCAGTCAATGCTAGAATTCAAATTTATAATCATGAAACTTCAAAATCCACCAAAAAATGCAGACATTCCATCTAAGACATTGGAGTAATTTCTCCTGTGGCATGGCACTACAGTGTTTCCAATAAAAAGCATCTCTTCATAGATCCATCCTCCTTTATGTATCATGTGCTGTTTTTGTGTAGCCTAAAACTACTCCCACATATACTTTCATCTGCAAAATTGATGGTGGGAAAAATATCTATACATCACCCATTTTGCATGTTTGAGAATGTGACTTTTTCCAGCTATAACTCGGATTTTACATCATCATCTATCATGTTGTCACCCTCTGTAGGCGATGTCCCTTCCCCGGATCGTGTAGCTAATTGGAGGGGGCCTTGAGGAGAATCAGAACTGCTACCCTTTGAGGATTCATTGTGCATCCACAAGCCTCCAAGAACCGCAACAGACCGATTAGCAGTTGTAGCCGTAGCAAGTGGAACTCTGCGTGTATGAAGTCGGTATTTCTGCAACAATAAACAACCATATGTTAATCTCCAGTCCAAACATTAGGCATATATACCTTGCATCCCTTGAAAACTATGCAAACAGTGAGGGGAAATGGAACAAGTAATAACATCAACTTACTTGTAAATGACTCTTTACTTCATCGTTGGTCAGGCCATCGACCCTCATGAATTCCCTAATTTGCCTTGGAGTAGCCACTGCAATTGAAAGAAAAAGAGATATAAATTTGACAATTATGAATCAAACAATAGGTAACACGTGTTTGAAAAGAACTTTTGCTGTGACGGATAATATGAAATGCAATATGTAACATTTCCTGTGTCTCTAGCCTGATCCTAACTCTACCTAATTAATTCATCACACAACCTCTATCGTGAATCAAACTGGGAAAAAAAGAGAAGAAAATACATAACTTCATATCCACACAATCCCATCATCAAATTCTTCAACTCCTAACACTAGCACATATTTTTGGCAAATTCATCCATTTACTACTAATTCATACATAGTTTCCTACCAACCAAAATGCCCAGGGTGATAAAAGCCCCTATTCTTAGCAGCAAAATAATTGTACTACTAGTAGTCATTGAAATTCATGTGCCAAGAAAAAGACTGATTTTAGTTTGAATTCCCAACCTTGAGAACCTCCAAGCTCCTCTAAAGCCTTAACAAATCGAAGATGCAACTCCGGCGACCAGCACCTCCTTTGTTTCCGGGCAGATTGCGGCTGAGGCGGAGCCAAAGGAGAGGAGGAAACCACCCTGCTAGAGCTGGTTCTGGAACCATAACCTTCCCTTGAGTTCTTCATTACAGTTCCAGGGGTCTGAAGAGAGAGTCCCTTCGCCACACAATCTTCCTTCTCTCCCTTTGTTGTGGAAAAAGGCATCATAAACCCCCTCCCTCCATTTCTATTTCTACCATATTGGAACAAGCCCTCAGCAACACTTTGTCTTTCTTCTTCATAATTCTCCTATTATCATCAAATTAAAAAAAAAAAAAAAAACATTACAACCCATATAAATTCAAATTTTTCATAGCACCTTACAAAATAAATTCCCACCCTTTTTAACTATAGTACCTTGTTTTCTTGTTTAAAGTTTGGTTTTTTGTCACAGTCACATGCATTTTTTTTGTAATTATTATCAGTGTTCCAAAGCTGCACAGAACTCATCCAATTCTTCTTGTTATCCTTGCATTCCTTCTCCTTTTCACTTTCCTCCCTCTGATCACACTCTCTCTTCAAGGGAATAAACTCCTCCAACACTGGTTCAGATTTAAGCACCCTGCATTTTGCTGATTCCACCTTCAGAGCTGAAATTGCTGCAAACACAAAAGAATGGAGAACAATGCATTAGCCCATTGAACACTTCAACTTTAATCTAAAATCATAAAACTTGAAGATAGAATAAGCACAACCCATTTGCCAAAACCATTAAAAGAGTCCAAAAAATGTTTTTTCTTTTCTTTTTTATTTTAATGAAGAAAGTTGAAAGCGAACCATCATTTAAGAGGAAGATGCAGAGGGGAAGTTCGCGTTTGAATGCTTGGATCTTGGACAATTCAAGTTCCAACTTGCTGATGAAGTCATCAAGCAAGAACAACTTGAGGGTGGCGTTATTTGTGGTGGAAATGTAGCAGAGAAAATCAGTGATTGTTTTGGGAACAAAATCTAAGCTTAGTTCCGCAGGAACCGAACCCATGTTGGTGTCAGTCACAGTGTAATTTTGGGTTAGGATGATATAAAACTTAAAAGGGTGTCTTTGTTTTCTGAGAGAGTTGCAGTTTTTTATTTGGTGTCATAAAGTGGGAAAGGAATGAGAGAGTTGAAGTAGTGAGGAGATAGAATGGGAATTAAATAAAGGGAATTTATAATAAGAGGGATTCTTGGGGGTTGGATTATTGGAATGGAAGAGAGTTTGAATGTGATTTCCGAATCAGCCTTGTTTGCAGAAGAATTTCATGTGAAAAAAAATTAATTTAATGGAATATTAAAATTTATTTTTTTTAAATCTTTTAGCTTAAACTGAAGGTATTTTTATTACAGATAATTATGGTCCATTCAAGATGATTGTAAGCAATAAGCTTTTATAAGAAAATATATGTGTTTTTGGATTAATTTTAATTTATTCTTTTTAACAAGTTTAATTTATTAGAATTAAAATTCAAAATTATTTGTTAAAGTTGAAATAACTTTTACCATGTTCGATGATAAATAAGTAATATTATTTTAATTTTAAAAGAATAATTTACATGCATTTTTAAAAATAAAAATAATATAACACGATTAATTTATAACATTTAGAAAGTGAATTATATATTTATAAGAAAATATAAAGAGGAAAATGGAGGCGGAGTTAACGTAACAGGATTGAAGTGGAAATTTCAAAACGCGAAGATTGGATAGAAATATAGAGGAGAGAGCAGAGACGGACAAGGAAGGCTAATAGTTTTTCCTTTATAATCAGCGGGCACTCGTGTATTCCAAATCTCCATTTTTATAATTAGTTTTTTTTAAGATAATTTAAAATTTTAAAATAATTACTTATTTAATTATTTTCTTAAAAATAAATAATTTTCTTTGAATAAATTAAACTAAATATACAATACTCTTATTTTGAATATAACTATTTTATAATATAATTTTTTCTAATGTATATTTAAGAATATATAATAAAAATAGATTTTGTTAACCTATAAAAACTGAGATAAACAATTAATAATAGTAAATTTTTATTAAAAAAATATTTATTATATTTTTATAACTTCAATACAATAACTATGTACTTTTTTATTTATAGATATTTAAAAGAGTGGGATTAACAAAATCTAATAAAAATTTATATATATTAAGCTTTCATTAAAAATTATAAAATACTACAATATTTTAACTCTCTATAATAAAACTAATTGAAAAATTATAATTGACTTGTTAAATAACTAAAAACTTATACCTCACAATTAGTTAACTGAATTAAAATCATTTAATAAAATTGGTTGAACAACTAATTGAAATGTATTAAAAGATTAAAAAGAAAATGTTAATTTTTTTGGAGGTATAAAATATTAAAAATATTAAAATATTAAAAATAAAAATTAGCTTCTAATAAATTAAATGTTACTTGAAATAAATTTTTATAAATTAAATTTAAATTTTTTTAACTTATTAATTAAATTAAAAAAAATTAATAATAATCTATAAATATTTTCTTGCACTTAATATTGATTAAAAAAACTTCAATAGAAATTACATCACTATTAAAAAGAAAAAATCTTAATTTAATTTAACATAGAAACTGATAAAGCATATCCCAAGAAAATTAGTATAAAAGGTTACTTCTAACTTTAATAAGAAAAACTTAGTTGATAAAAACATGAAAAAGTACTCTAACCCTTGTTCCATTTAGATGTAATAATAATTAAGCCCAAGAACAATAAGAGCCTGTATATGTTATTAAAAAATGAACTTATTTATTCAAGTTATACATTAAAAAAAGAAGAAGAAGAAGGTAATTCTCTTAAAAAAATAATGTGAAAAAATTTGTAATTTTATTTTCTCTTAAAGTATAAAACAATAAGGTTATATTGAAAGTTCACGGTGGTAGATAAGAGATATCAAAGTATATGTTTTTCTTCATTTTACGAAAGTATTATGAGATACAGAGAATATAAATAACTTTTCTCTTTCTTCTTATTATTTATTATATTTTTTTATATTATCTTATTATGATATTTATTAAAATAATAAAAAATAATAACTCTATTTTATGATCTTGTCCCGTAAGTATTATTTTTCATGCATCAAATATAAAATTAAATATATAAATACTATTTTATGATGCAATCAAAATCCATAATTCGAGGGTTTTCTTAATATATTTTTTTTAACCCCTCCTATGACTAAGATGATGAAGAAAATGATGTATGATTAATAGCGTAGAAAGTAAGGAAAGGGAGAGTGCGGTCAAATAATGATATGCTATCTTATTCTAATATTCTAAAGTATCGTTAAACCGCTTTAAGTGTGTATATCAAATCCTTTATAAGTCAAGAGTCATCCGCGTTTGAAAGCAAGAAGCCCACTAAGGGTGGAATATCGGTTCACTGAGATTCCAAGACCCAAGGTGTGTAATATCAGGACTTAACAGTTCTATTATTCAGTAATTTTTATAAAATATAAAACTAATTTAATTTCATTATTAAATAATTTTATATTGTCATTGTGATTATAGAATTTAAATTTTATGTTATTTAAAATTTATTATTTATTTATATTTTAAAACACATTATTCATTACAATAAAGTAATATAATAAAATAGTTAATACTTTTTTTATAAAATTAATCTGTTTAATAAGAATTTTAAACCAACGATGTTATATTTTTATGCTAATTTTATAAAATAACTATTTATATGTGATGTAAATATTTATTTCTGTTATATATATTATTGATTAGATAATATTTGTATTTTAAGTAATAAAAATATTTATATTAAATTTTTTAGCCTCTTATTTTATATTGAAGAGATTTTTAAAAATAAAAAATTATAAATTAAACAAAATTATTCAAAATAAAAAATGTGTTTATCCAAAAAAATAAAATATTAAGGTCTGATTTGTCTACGAATTAATTTTTTTTACAAATTCAATATTATCTAATTAGTAATATTAAAAAATTTATACAAATTATTTTAATATACTAATTAAAATTTATCAATCTGATTCAATTTGATATATTTAAAATTAAACTAAATTAAGTGAAACTACATATATATTAAATTTATATTAATTTTTTATTTTATTATTATATAATATTAGATATTACCTTAAAATATATTTATATTTCTTAAAATAAAGTTTATTTTGATTTATAATTTATAATTAGATTTAATATGTTTAGCATCTTTTATTTTATTAAATATTTAATGAGTGTTACTTTTAAATAAAAAAATTATATATAAGCAAAAGATTCAATATGTACTTTTATTAATTATCATGTTTAATTTATAAAAAGTATTATTTGTAGAACTTATTAAAAAGATATCTAGAACGGTCACCATATCACATTCGTTTATCTTTCTCCTTCCTTTTAGAAAGTTGAATCATAAATTTTTAGTTCTTTTAATAATTCTTTTTTTCATACAAATAAATTCCTTCTCTATTTCAAACTTTATTATTATAATTACTATACCACAAAATCTCTATAACAGCTACTGTGTCATTTTCATTTATTCTTGTCTTCTTTCTTTTACAAAATTGAAGAGTTCTTTTAATAATTCCTTTTCGCATATAAATAAATTTCTTCATCTCAACCTTTAATAAATATATTCTCTATTGTAAAATTTAAATATACTATGTATTAAATAGGCAAATCTAACCACCAATAAACAATGTAAAAAAATTGTAAATTAAATATACAATTCATAAAATATTTTAGCTATTATTATTGATAATATATTCTATGTTATAGAAAATAAATATTTCATGCATCAAATAGGCAAATCTACATCATAAAATGTCACTTTTTAATCGATTCTTTTATAATTGATGTAAAATAAATTTAAAATATAAAATTTCACGTCTATAAAATAGTATAAATTCAAGACGTTAAACACCAACTTTTATTTATATTCTCAAGCTTCTGTTAATACTTTTGGCTACGCTATTGATAAATACAAATTCTTACTTATATTCTCACACTTTTGTAGTGTTGTTGGCTATGTCATTGATTAACCTTGAAGTCTTGCCAAGTAACTTAATGATTTTATCTTACTTTATTTTGTGTTTTCTTTTTTATTAACCTATTGGTACACAACATTGATAAACACTTTATATTTTTCATTTCCAGAATTAATAAAGATTAAATTTTGAGTAAATATTAACAAATATTAATGATAAACATTGTATATTTTTCATTTATAGACTTAACAAAAATTAAATATTGAGTAAATATTAACAAACATTGACACTATTGATGACATTAACAAAGATTGACACCATTGAAAAATTATTTATTAAATTGTTAGAAGAACATTGACACCATTGACGAACATTTATATAAAGATAATTTTCTATATTAATTATTTATAACTGATGTAAAAAGTAATATTTTTTACATTGATTGTTACAAGTGATATAAAATTATAAACTTTTTATATAAGTTGTACCTATAACAATTCTTTAACCAATATTAAATGTTATTTTAAATCGATGTTAAAAGTAATTTTTACACTAATGCAAATTTGTCAGTCACTAAATCTTTATTTTTTTATGTGCAACTTATAACTCTAGCAAGTGTAATAAAAAAAGATTCAAATAGATTTTCTTCATCAAGTTCGCTTGCAAAATTTGAATTAACATATCATTTGATAACAAACTTTGATCCTCTAAAACATAATGCAACACTTGGGATTTCTTTAATATATTCTTTTCATAGTATTTCAATGCATATGGTACTTGAGACATTTTTATCATCTTCACTTCATACTAGGGCATATACTTAAAGATGGTTTATAATTGATAGAAACAGAAGTAGAAATTTGCTTATAACCTTGCATGTTGAAGCATCAAAATACCTTCCAAAAATAATAATTATTACAAGAAAATTAAATCTTTCTACCTTTTTTTTTTCTTTTGTCTTTGTGAATTTTCATACCTAAAATATTATTTGCTAGTCGTATGTTCTTCATATCAAACTTCTTTCTCAACTATGCCTTAAATTCTTGGACTTAATCTTTGTTGGGGTGCACCACCAACATGTGATTGAGATACATTAAGAAAATGATAAAATTATTTTCACCAAAACTCTTATAGTTCATACAATGGTTTGAACTTAATCTATTATATCTAAGGCTAATAAAGAAAGAATTAAATCTCATTTACATACAATTTAACATTTTCTTTAGACTATATAGTAATTTGATTGACTTGCAAAACAAATCTTCTTTTCTTT